CAAACATGCGATACAATCTATACAATCTATACAAAATGTATCCATTATGGTTGAGATAGGTTTTATTGATCCTCGTAACCAGTGAACAGTTCAGCCAACAGAGGTGACAGTGCAGGAAAAACTTAGCTTGTGTTACCCTCAACTCAAATGTGTACCTTCCACAATGAACGTAAATGTTTTATTTTTAAAATATTTTGATATTTGCTTTGTACTCTTCTAGCAAACAGCACTGTTTGTTTCCTGTCATCATCAGCTGGATGTTGTTGGATGTTGTCTGTTTGTTGTTAAACGCCGCACTCAGCAATATTCCAGCTATATGACAGCGGTCTGTAAATAATCGAGTCTGGACCAGTCAATCCAGGTGCAGGTGAAAATAGCAGTTCTCTTCACTTGAAAGTTTGGTAAAACATAATTACCAAATGGATCACTTCTGTCCACCATTTGTGATGTACTTTTTGAGTTTTGGCGATTTCAGTGTCAAAGCTTATTATTGGAGCCTTGCATTATAGCACTGTATAAGCCCATACTATTAGGCATGTTTGTTTAATGGGTTAATGGTTCCCCCAAGCCTCCATTACGTTAAGGGCTCGTTAATGTATGGATGGTGTCATGAAAAATTGATACAACCAACATAATCGCACATTAGTCAGTGGAGGTTTTAAGACACGTTAATGAATTACAGTTTGACACAATGGGGTCTTGAACCTTTCAGGGGACTGAGCCTTTGAGCTTCCTGGGGAGTGAACGTTAGAGGAGTGAATTATTACCCTGGTCAATGGATCAGCGTGCACTCAGTGTTTCATTCTCAGCTCCCTGGGGAGTAAACAACCTAATCTGTGTGTGAGGTGTTAGAAGATTAACAGTTGAATTACCATCTCATCCTACCAGGTACCCATTCACTACTAGGTGAACATAGGCATATTTTGAAAAAAGTCATTTGCCCAAGGAGACACCACATATACTTCATGTGCTACATGTGCTTCAGTGTGAGGCAAGACCAAAGCCCTAGAAACTCTCACGATCCAAGCAATCGAACAAGGTAACCTATCCAAAGACTCTCTGTGATCAAAGGGGGGGCATGGGTGGCCCAGTTGTCTAAGGCGCTGTGATTCGCTGGGCAGAGTTGCATCCCTTGGGCACGCCAGAAACCTATGATTGTGGGTTTGAATCCCGGTTTGCCCTGATTATGTTTCTAGGTTTGTCAGCACCATACCTGTGCTCGTGGGTTTCACCGAAGTGGTAAATGTCTGAGACCTGTATCACTTCGGGCTTTCCTCCCACAGTAAGCTGACACGCCATGATATGACTGGAATACTGTTAAAAGCGGCTTTAAACCCAACTCACTCACTCACTCACTGAGATCAAAGTTGCTTAACTTTGCCTGTTTTGCGGCCAGTGCGCTGTACACAGGATCACGTCCTGAAAATTACTTCCTCTAGCCAATAGCAACACTCACACAGCCAGTATCCGAAATGACTGCCTGCCCACCTGCCCGTGGCTGGTAACTTTTCAGTCGGGCTGAATGAAATTTTCCTCCACCTTCCAGACTATCTGACAGACTACGTATGTATTGAGTTTTATCATAACTCCTTCTAGATTCTCAAGTAATTGTTTGCATTTTTTCAACTGAATAAAGACATGATTCGTCTCTTAGTTTCTGCAACTTTTCAATATTTATCATGCCTGTCATGCTGGCAGGTAATTTTGAAGACGAGCAGGCAACACTTATGGGTCACCTGCTCGACTGTCTTGATGGGTTATTGTGAACACTGCAGCTAGCTGCCCCTGCCTGGCTCTGACACCCAATCCCTCCTCTGATTTGCCATCTTTCACAAGTACACAGATACATCATACTGAAGGAACTGGAAGTGACCACTGGTACAACATTTGGACTAAGGCTGTCCATGTGAGATAAGCCGTCTGACGCACATAAGGATTAATACAAATACATTGATCTTACTACCAAACAAAGCAGGCTTCATCTATCTTATAAGTGTGCATTCTTGCAGCAGAAAACATGATATATTCTCAAGCTACTTAATGTCACATGAAACACTCGTTATTACAGTTGGCCAAACTTAACCATACATCCACGTGTAGTTTGTCATGTTGTGTAGTTTGTACACGCATGTTGGACAGATCGGTTACCGGATCATGAAAACCAGCCACAATGCATCCATTCCCACGGCACCTTTTCTCAAATGATATTGTGCTGCAACTTAGCAGCGATCATAATCCTAGATAAACTATGGGAGATTGGCAGAAGTTGTTTTCATTGCCTTACAAAATGGGGCAGATGTAGTGTTATTGCTGTACAGGATAGGGCAGATGTAGTGTTATTGCTGTACAGGAAGGGGCAGATGTAGTGTTATTGCTGTACAGGAAGGGGCAGATGTAGTGTTATTGCTGTACAGGAAGGGGCAGATGTAGTGTTATTGCTGTACAGGAAGGGGCAGACATAGTGTTATTGCTGTACAGGAAGGGGAAGACGTAGTGTAATTGCTGTACAGGAAGGGGCAGACGTAGTGTTATTGCTGTACAGGAAGGGGCAGACGTAGTGTTATTGCTGTACAGGAAGGGGCAGACGTAGTGGTATTGCTGTACAGGAAGGGGCAGACGTAGTGTTATTGCTGTACAGGATAGGGCAGACATAGTGTTATTGCTGTACAGGAAGGGGCAGACGTAGTGTTATTGCTGTACAGGAAGGGGCAGACGTAGTGTTATTGCTGTACAGGAAGGGGCAGATGTAGTGTTATTGCTGTACAGGAAGGGGCAGATGTAGTGTTATTGCTGTACAGGAAGGGGCAGACGTAGTGTTATTGCTGTACAGGAAGGGGCAGATGTAGTGTTATTGCTGTACAGGAAGCGCAGACGTAGTGTTATCATTGCTGTACAGAATGGGGCAGACGTAGTGTTATTGCTGTACAGGAAGGGGCAGACATAGTGTTATTGCTGTACAGGAAGGGGAAGACGTAGTGTAATTGCTGTACAGGAAGGGGCAGACGTAGTGTTATTGCTGTACAGGAAGGGGCAGACGTAGTGTTATTGCTGTACAGGAAGGGGCAGACGTAGTGGTATTGCTGTACAGGAAGGGGCAGACGTAGTGTTATTGCTGTACAGGAAGGGGCAGATGTAGTGTTATTGCTGTACAGGAAGGGGCAGATGTAGTGTTATTGCTGTACAGGAAGGGGCAGATGTAGTGTTATTGCTGTACAGGAAGGGGCAGACGTAGTGTTATTGCTGTACAGGAAGGGGCAGATGTAGTGTTATTGCTGTACAGGAAGGGGCAGACGTAGTGTTATTGCTGTACAGGAAGGGGCAGACGTAGTGTTATTGCTGTACAGGAAGGGGCAGATGTAGTGTTATTGCTGTACAGGAAGCGCAGACGTAGTGTTATCATTGCTGTACAGAATGGGGCAGACGTAGTGTTATTGCTGTACAGGAAGGGGCAGACATAGTGTTATTGCTGTACAGGAAGGGGAAGACGTAGTGTAATTGCTGTACAGGAAGGGGCAGACGTAGTGTTATTGCTGTACAGGAAGGGGCAGACATAGTGTTATTGCTGTACAGGAAGGGGCAGACGTAGTGTTATTGCTGTACAGGAAGGGGCAGACGTAGTGTTATTGCTGTACAGGAAGGGGCAGATGTAGTGTTATTGCTGTACAGGAAGGGGCAGATGTAGTGTTATTGCTGTACAGGAAGGGGCAGATGTAGTGTTATTGCTGTACAGGAAGGGGCAGACATAGTGTTATTGCTGTACAGGAAGGGGAAGACGTAGTGTAATTGCTGTACAGGAAGGGGCAGACGTAGTGTTATTGCTGTACAGGAAGGGGCAGACGTAGTGTTATTGCTGTACAGGAAGGGGCAGACGTAGTGGTATTGCTGTACAGGAAGGGGCAGACGTAGTGTTATTGCTGTACAGGATAGGGCAGACATAGTGTTATTGCTGTACAGGAAGGGGCAGACGTAGTGTTATTGCTGTACAGGAAGGGGCAGACGTAGTGTTATTGCTGTACAGGAAGGGGCAGATGTAGTGTTATTGCTGTACAGGAAGGGGCAGATGTAGTGTTATTGCTGTACAGGAAGGGGCAGACGTAGTGTTATTGCTGTACAGGAAGGGGCAGATGTAGTGTTATTGCTGTACAGGAAGCGCAGACGTAGTGTTATCATTGCTGTACAGAATGGGGCAGACGTAGTGTTATTGCTGTACAGGAAGGGGCAGACATAGTGTTATTGCTGTACAGGAAGGGGAAGACGTAGTGTAATTGCTGTACAGGAAGGGGCAGACGTAGTGTTATTGCTGTACAGGAAGGGGCAGACGTAGTGTTATTGCTGTACAGGAAGGGGCAGACGTAGTGGTATTGCTGTACAGGAAGGGGCAGACGTAGTGTTATTGCTGTACAGGAAGGGGCAGATGTAGTGTTATTGCTGTACAGGAAGGGGCAGATGTAGTGTTATTGCTGTACAGGAAGGGGCAGATGTAGTGTTATTGCTGTACAGGAAGGGGCAGACGTAGTGTTATTGCTGTACAGGAAGGGGCAGATGTAGTGTTATTGCTGTACAGGAAGGGGCAGACGTAGTGTTATTGCTGTACAGGAAGGGGCAGACGTAGTGTTATTGCTGTACAGGAAGGGGCAGATGTAGTGTTATCATTGCTCTACAGAATGGGGCAGATGTAGTGTTATCATTGCTCTACAGAAATGGGTCGATGCTTTATTATTACTTTACAGTAATTTACAGACATAATCAATGCATCATATCTGTTATTTCAGTAATTGGTCCAACTTATTCATGACAGCCTGGGCAGAATTATCCCTGTACTGATAACATGATGTTTTTATCAATAGTTATCAGGATGTTGATTTAAACAATGTTTCACTGAGTATCAAATCCAGCCTAAACTACTGTCAGACTTTTCTCCCACGTCAATCTGAACCGCCGTGATTTAACTGTAATACTGTTCACAGCGGCGTTAAACACAACTCACTCTCCCTCCTCACCATCTTCAGTTGGCTGATAGCTCTCCATCTTGACGTGAAGGTTCTGTAAGGGATCAGCTTCAATGTCCTCTCCAAGGGTATCTTTAACACAGAACGTCACCTTGTACAAGTGTCGGAATTGCAGGAAGCCCAGGTGGACATCATATTTGTTTTCTTGACGGACGATCTGAATTTCACTGTCATGGGTGACCACCTGATCAGCTGGAAAATGAACATGGCCGTTCCTGTCTGTGAAGAAAAGAAAACATTTGATCAGCATCTGAGAAGATCAATCATCAATAACAGGTGGCAGCTGGGGAGATTATCAGACAATAAACCTAAAACAACATCATCCCTGCCCGGCTAAATTGGCAACAATATGGAAATGAACATTGCGGCAAGGACATTGTAGACAGGGAATGAGCTGTTGGACGGAGGTAATAACGTCTAAAGAGCAGGGTCGCACACGTCGATGTCTCTTCCAGCTATAAGACCATTATTGCGAGCAATAATGACAGTAATAGCATCTATCACCTGAACAGTTCAGTGCTGAATGTATCATCCACTCAAATAATCACAGATAATGGGCCATTGGAGAGGTGTATCAGAACCCGGAGTATTTGTTGTCGACTTCAATACTTTCTGCAGGATTGCAATTAATTTTCAAGAGAAGCTGATATATCAACTCCGTTCTGCTTCCCTAGGATATCATTCATGCGATTAAATGAAAAATACCTAAGGTTTTAATTGAAATTTCTGTTGTTCAAGACCTCATCTGTGACTCCTTGTTATCCTTCATCACATATACTACTCAAAATTTGATAGGGACACCGAAGTATTTCATGCTGTGACCTAATGTGAGGACAACTTATTTTGTGTTTATGTTGAATCAACTTGAAACGATGCTGCACATGCTTCACTTCCATGGCAAATTCAAACACTATTTGTATGACAACTTATTGAACTGTGTATTTATGTTGAATCAACTTGAAATGAAAATGCACATGCTTCACATTCATGGCAAATTCAAACACTATTTGTATGACAACTTATTGAACTGTGTATTTATGTTGAATCAACTTGAAACGATGCTGCACATGCTTCACTTTCATGGCAAATTCAAACACTACTTGTATGACAACTTATTGAACTGTGTATTTATGTTGCATCAACTTGACACGATGCTTCACATGCTTCACTTCAAAGGCAAATTCAAACACTATTTGTATGACAACTTATTGAACTGTGTATTTATGTTGAATCAACTTGAAACTAAACTGCACGTTTCACTTCCATAGCAAATTCAAACACTATTCGTATGACAACTTATCTGAGAAATCAGTTACATCCAGACCCCATCTGGAAACTTCCGATCTCTATTGAAAGTTGAGTAGTATAGATGGAAATCTTTACACCAATTCTCCACACTGTACAAGATCATGTCACTACGTATCCATTACTTTGAAAGTCCATTTGTGTCTCTAATGAGTTGTTGACGTCAGTTGAAAGACAAAGCAGATCGTTTTTTTCTTTCTCTCAGCAGTGTTTGCAGCTGATTTTACATTCAACATCACAGAAGACAGAGATGTTCATATGTTATTATCTTTAGGGAAACACTACTGAAAGGCCACAAATGATCATAAAACTAATGTCTTGAAGTTTCTATCACATCTCTACACATGGCAAGTCCTCAAGGAAACTAATCAAATTTTACACAAAAACGACCAGTGATGGTAGTCCTCTAGTCCTGCACCATTAACCGTGGAATATATTCCTTTTTTGAACAAAAATCAATCTAGAAAGGCAAACAAAAGCAAGTCTAGCCAGCTCTATTCCACAAATCTGAATTCTGAAATCAGCATAGGGAAATTGTTTTTTTATTTTTAGAGTCAAGAAGGATATTGTGTAATATAAGATTTCAGAGACTAAATGTTAGTCTAGTAGTCCTCATAGACTTCGAGGGCTATAATTCTGAACCTCACAGTGGTTCTCAACGCGCCAACTTGGCTATAAATTAGAACTGAATAAAACTAAAAAAAATATAGACATAGTAAACAGTTCTGTCTTGTTCAAGCAGGACAAGCTACAAACTCATGACTAGAGGGACTGGTTTCCACTTGAAAAGTATACTGAACAACAAAAGTTCCTGTGACATTGAATAAGATTTAATGCAAAGTTATGTTTTTTACCAAATCTGAGAGAATTTCAGTTTGCAACAGATAAAAGACTCCTGTAAGTGTTCAAATGGTTTAATTTCTCATACTGACTTTAGAAAATATCAATTTACAAATCAACAGCGTGTGTGTCCACCTCTGGTTGCGATGCAAGCAACACATCTTCATCTCATGGAATGGACCAGGCATCGCACAAAGTCCTGTGGGATATCTGTCCATATCTGCTGGAGCATGTTTCGTAGTTCCTGGAGTGTCTGTGGAACACGTGATTGACGTCAAAAGCGCCGATCCTTCTCATCCCACATGTGCTCGATTGGTGAGATATCAGAGGTGATATCAGTAGCGCTGTCCATTGAGATTTCCCTCTACCACTATCAAACGGGTCCTCTGTCTTGCTGTAATCCCATCCCATACCATAACGCTGCCGCCCCTGAACCGATCTTCTTCCATGACACAACGATTGATGTAACATTCACCTCGACGTCGGTACACTTGAATCTGTCCATCGCTGTGACTGAGGTGAAAATGTGACTCGTCAGTGAATAGAACTTGTCCCCACTGCATGGCCGTCCTGCATAGACACTGTCTGTACCACTATTGACGTGCTGACGGTGGTTTCCTGTCAAAACGGGACGTCTGGCGGGTCTTCTGGCGACAATCCCTGCACATCTGTTGGCTGGAATCGATTTCGTAGGTGTGTTGTTCGAATCCAGTTGTCTTGTCGATTATTGGTTATTGGCCTGCCCCTCCATGGATGGTCTCTGACTGCATTCATCTGTTGCCAAGGTTGCCATAAACACCAAATTGTGACTCTGTGGACGTTAAATTGTCTTACAACATCACGTTGACTCAATCATGCTTCAAGCATACCAATGGCTCGCAGACGCTCATTTTCGGACAGGCGTGGCATTTCGTAATGTTGAATAATTGCGTAATTTTGTTGTTTTTCTGAGTGGCTGTTGTCAGCACGATGCTAAACAATGCATATGGAATCCTGTTAATGCATATATTTTTATGCCCATTCTTGGGTAGTGAAATGCATGGGGCTTGCATATAAGTCAACTTTTGCATGGAATGCCTGATTTTCTGTAGCAGCTGCGTTTTTGTGACTTGATTCCATACATGTACTACAATATTGAAAACCAAACTTTACTTGTTTGAAAAATAAAGTAAAATATTGGTGTCACAGGAACGTTTGTTGTTGAGTTTATTTCTAACATGTCTAATACTGGGTTGTTTTGTTTGTTTTTCATTGTTTAACGCTGCCCTCAGCAATATTCCAGCTATATGACAGCGATCTGAAAATAATCAAGTCTGAGCACCTGATCCCGTTAGTCGCCTCTTACGACATGCATAGTTGCCTTTTACGGCAAGCATGGGTTGCTGAAGACCTATTCTATGCTGGGTTGTACTAGACATAGGGTCGCCATAGGCTACTTCCTCATAAACCCTCATAAACCCACAAACATAACATTTAGTCACAGGCAATCTAACAGTTTTCCAAACACTGCATTTTCCTCCAGCACATTTCCCACATGCTGCAACAAAAACGATACATTTCTGCAAATATTAGTTGATCATTGGCAATCAGCTGTATGAAGTGCCTCTCCTCTTTACACAAGTTTCATTATGTTATTCAGCAGGAAACTTAATAGCCCTGATGTATTTCTGTTGTAAATATTTTCCCCCAGGTAATGCCGACAACCTGTCCCTTACAACAACAACATTCCTCCCACCACCTGCACTGTGTATATATATCCCAGCAGATGTGTGCAGGCAATCATCATATTCCACAACACGCTTAGAGACAAGGGAAGATAACCCAAGTCACTTTGTCTGTTGTAAGTGTTGCCCATAGGATGGCACAAACCTGCATTACGTGACTACTTCCTGTCTCTGGCCCAGACATGCATATGTCGGATCTCCTGGGGCTTATCATTATTTCTAGCTGTTCCATGAAGAGTTCGAAATAAGCGCCTGCCTGTCGGCCCGTAGCAGGTAGACATCGTGTCGGGACTGTAGTTTCACGAGTGTTACTTGAGTCAGGGCCTGCAGTTTCTAAAGTCTGTGGGTCCTGATGGCAGACTGGCAATTTTTCTAATTTCAAACACTGTTTGCATGTTCAGTATTCCTCCTCAATTTTGTCCAAAACACCTTTGGATCGGACAATCAGGCTAACTGACTTGTTTGATGGATGTCATCGTATTCCAATTGTGTGGATTGATGCTCATGATGTCAGTCACTGGATTGTCTGGTTCAGACTTGATTATGTAAGGATCACCATCATATAGCCGGAATATTGCTGACTGTTGCATTAAACAACAAATGAAACATACACTACGCTGTCTCAACCTACATCCAATACACCTACATACACTATGGTTTCTCACATATACTACTCAAAAGAGTTAAGGACCACCAATTCTTTCATAATACTATAGTAAATCTATAAACTATAGCAATATGAAAGACTCAGAATAGTTAATCTGTCATGCCAGTAGCATGAAAGAATCATGTGGTCCTTATCTTCTTTTGAGTAGTATATTTCTCATACACCTAAATAAATGCCTTCTCTCTCTTCCTTAAGACTGGGGGTAGCCTACTTGTTAAAGTGTTTACTCGTCACGCAAAAGACCCGGGTTTGATTCCTCACATGGGTACAATGTGTGAAACCCATTTCTGGTGTCCCCCACCATGATATTGCTGAATATTGCTAAAAGCAGCGTAAAACCCTACTCACTCACTCACTCTTTGAGAGTGCAGTCTGCAACGTTCCATTATATCATGTTATACCAGGACACGCACAAATAATGGAATCTCCACTAAGCAAACCGGTGACTGAAAGCATGAACAATCCCAACATTCAGGGCATGATGACATGAAACTCATCAAGTCTGCATCAACCCACCACAAACTCTTTATAGAAAAACTCTTTCACCAGCATGACATGAGGAAAACTTTTGTCCATGAAATCCTCACACAGGTACAAATAGTAGGCTACAGCCTCACTCAGCATGCTGAGCACAAACATTGAAATCTGCCGCATCCAAAGCATACATGAAGCACTACATATAT